TTAGAACAGGATCCATCACCAAGCACAATATGTCTGGATTTAAGTTCAATGCTATTACAAAATCTGTATTCTGTTTCCATTGTAATACAATAATGCATGGTTCTCTGTCTCAGCTAGTGTGTTTTCTAATCTGTGGGCAAGCCCGATGATAAGGGATCGATCCTCAGCAACCTTCTCCTATCCAACATTGATTAAGTCGGGTTGGTATGCGTCGCCTCCACTTGTGAGACAAATAAATTATCGTTGATTTGAATCAGACATGTGTGATTGAACAAAGGCCAGAACACATGGAGAGTGTGGGCAGGCAATCGATCCCTAGTTGTGCCAACATGCTAATGTGAACAGTGATTTAAGGCCCGAGAGTCTAATAGGGCTGCTGAACTTAGAAGCAAGGACGTGTCCTTCAGCTCATAGTTATGCCACAGCTGTTTCCTCCAGAGCCAGAAAATAGGTTGGAAGTGCTAAATACTTTTCTTAAGCACAGTTTTGATGATTGGTTATTCTAACCTGCACTGTAGCCTAACAAACATCAGCAGATGTCTGTCGATGCTTTTTAAAATGTAAGTAAGATTTAAATCATACAGCTCACAAATGGCTTCATTAAAAATGAGTAAATTATTTTCAAAAAAATCTTTCACACACAGCAGATGAATTCTTTTGGTTCTACGGAGGTTATTTACAATAGCAATATGGAGAATGTGGAATTGACTCATTTTAAACAACAATGCCCATTTTTCATAGTAATGAGAGAACAAGTTACCCAGTGAATGTCTCTGGCTCATTAATGTGTTTCTAATAGTTTGGGGTATTGAGGATGTTTTGTCAGGCTTTGTTTGCAGAGGCAACACTTTGTAGTAGGAATTATTTATTCTTGGTTGTGGTCTTTTAATGGGATTGTCATTGCTATGAATTAAATGTAAACAAATTTCCCAACTGTATCTTTTAAAGTACCATGAATATTGCTAAATATACTGGATGGATGTACATATTAGATGCACATTTTGTGTATTGATGAATCTAGTGCACTAATATTGGGGTTTTTGGTCGGATTAGAGGGCAGTCTGCTGTGGACAGATTTTCTTAAAGTGGCAAACTTGAAAGTTTGTATTGAAAATGTACATTTTATATTATTCATAAATTAAATGTAAATTCTAGAAAGGAGCTGTCTCATTTTCTGAAGTTTACAGGATGATGACTGAGCCAATGACTCACTCATACAAAAAACAACAACAACAACATTAAGTGCTGTTTTAGCTTCAAGTTAAAAATATTTTACAGAGAAAATTACGAGTAGACTTTATTATGAAGTAGTCACAAGAAATACATTGTGTTTGTGGGTGAGCCTAGAATTTACTGATACTGTTCATACGAAGCAAGATTTTCCTCAGTTTGAGTGAGCACTAAGAAGGAGCAGCTACAGTGGCTGTTAGATGAAGAGCTGCTGCTGCAGGCTGCACACTTCCACCTCCTCAGTGAACTAACCAGGTAATTTCACTTTACCCTGGATGTGACTGAGATTCACCTTATGTGACTCTCTGGGTTTTCACACATTAACTAAATATACAGTACATAACTGAAAAAGTGCCTGTTTGACAAGGTTAGGTCATTAGAACTGTGATAGTGTGCACCTCATTT